TATGTTTTTGTCTCTGTATCCTCAGAGTCCAGAGGCCAGGTCACAGTGACTCAGTCTGGAGCAGTGAGCTCTGCTCTGGGACGCTCCGTCACCATCACATGTAGGACCAGTCAGAATGTCTATACTTGGAGCAGCTACCATGCTTTGGCCTGGTACCAACAGAGAGATGGAGAAACTCCTAAACTGCTCATTTATGCTGCTAGCACTCGAGCATCAGGGATTCCAGGTCGTTTTACAGGCAGTGGATCAAACTCTGACTTCACTCTGACCATCAGTGGAGTCCAGACTGAAGATGCAGCAGTTTACTACTGTATGGGTGGTCATTACATCAACAGTCAGTATGTGTTCACACAGTGAAAAAGCGTCGTACAAAAACCTCCCTCAGTCAGACTGAACAGAAACTGAACTGACTGCTGCAGCTGGAAGCTACTGCAGAGACTGATACACTTCACTGAGGACACACACACACACACACACACACACACACACACACCATGTACTATAATAAAAACAGTGACAAATAATAATGTCCATCACAACATATCAGCATCCATTAATACTGCATTATAATCCCATGTTGTTATCTGATTTCCAAATGAATAAAAGGGACCCAACTTGGGAGAGTGAATGGTAGACGTTCAGGCAGACAATTTACGCTTGAAATGTTTATTACAGCAGTACAGCATATTTAGATTTTAGCATCAAGGCTCCGACCTAATCATTCCCCACATATATGTTTACATAGAGTTATTGGGGAGTGATGGGTAGATACCTTAAACCCCCCAAAACTGCACAGAATAGAGCATGACGTTACTAGTAGGAGGATCTTCTATGTGTGGGCCTTGGCACCAGCCGCTGTGTGGCTATTCCCTATGAGAACCTCAAGCCATGAGGGAATATACTACTTAGCAAAACCTCTAGCAGGAACATTTCCCATATAGCAAATATATAAATACTCTAAACCCAGCAACCACCTGATATGCAAAGAAATAATTAGGCAGCAGATACAAATATTTATACTCGATCTTTTGAGGAACATGGTCGGCGGGTCTATACGATGCTAATGAGAAACGGTATGCCTCTATGGCGCTTTACCTTTACTTTTGGGAGATGCAATGTTTGAATTAGCAGTGTTTTAACCTGAGTCCTGGACACCAGCGGAACTGAGAGGTAAGTAAAGAGCTCTTCATGGCCAAGGCCTGAAGGAACTGAGATGTAGTGAGCATTTATGCGGGTGATGCGGCAGCTAAGGCGCGGAGCAGGGGTCTCTGAGTCATTTTTAGAGCGAACCTCAGCGGACTGAGCCTGGGTTTCAGGGATGAAGCCAATATCTTCCCCTGAGGACAGAGAACCACTCTCTGAGTCAGAGACGATGAGCGACATAGTGCCCAATAAAGCCGAAAGGTAGGATGTCCAGCTCTACATCTCCACCAAATCCATCACCTCTGCCACTCACTCCACTCTCTCCAACTGCCTCACTGACATTAAATCCTGGATGCACACCAACTTCCTTAAACTTAACTGGGACAAAACAGACATGATCATCATCGGTCCCAAATCCATCACTAAAACCATTCACAGTTTCTCCCTCACTGTCGACACCTCCACTCTGTCTCCATCCCCTCACAGTCGCAACCTCGGAGTCATCTTTGACAATAACCTCTCCTTTGAACACCACATAAAACAAATCACCAGAACGGCCTTCTTTCACCTCAAAAACATCGCCCGACTCCGCCCATCATTCTCTTTCTCCGCTGCAGAAACCCTCATCCACGCCTTCATCACCTCCAGAATCGACTACTGCAACAGCATCCTGTACGGCACACCATCCAAAACCTTAAATAAACTCCAGTACATCCAGAACTCTGCTGCTCGTCTGCTCACCCACACCCGCACCTGTGACCACATCACCCCTGTGCTCCAGAACCTGCACTGGCTCCCGGTCCCACAACGAATTCAATTCAAAATCCTCCTCCTCACACACAAAGCCATCCATAACCAGGCCCCTTCCTACCTTACTGACCTGCTCCACCGCCACAATCCATCCCGTAGCCTCCACTCATCTGACGCAAACCTCCTGTCTCCACCACCCAGGACCAAGCACCGAACCTGGGGCGACAGAGCCTTCTCCGTTGCTGCCCCCTCCCTCTGGAACTCTCTCCCCAAACAAATCCGTGACTGCACCGACCCTACAGCGTTCAAATCATTGACAAAAACTCACCTTTTTAAAATTGATTTTAATGTTTAGTTTAGTCCGATGTGTTTTCAGTGTTTTTACTATTTGATGCTGTTTTCGCTGCTTTTATGATTTTATGTAAAGTGTCTTTGAGTATTCAGAAAAGCGCTTACAAATAAAATGCATTATAATTATTAAAGGGCCGCAGGTCAGATTTGAACCCTGGGCCACTGCAGCAAGGACTTGGCCTCAGTACATGGGTAGCAAGCTCTACTGACTGAGCTAACCGGGTACCCTATTTATATTACATTTTAACAACAAACTGCTGATATTGATAATATGATGACATAATATGTTGATAATGTCCTACTTTATAATTAAAATGACATCAAACTTTGTTACAAATAAATATATTCATGGTTACTGTAATGAAGAAGTTCATGTCCTCACATATGCTTTAAGGAATCTGGAGAAAATGATTCATTTACTTTAATGATGTTGGGTCACAACAAGCACTGATGAATGATTATCTGATTACTTTATTTTTTTCTAAATATCAAGGAGAGATATTAAAAATCTATTATATGGTGTATTTTTTCTGAAGACATTACTTGATATTTTTTAATACAGTGGAGTTCAATGTTTACAGTAACATACATGACAACAACTGATTTGATGAACTGGTCTTTATTGTGTTGAAATAATCAAAATAACGAATTTAATCAATGGCACACATATTTAGAGAGTGGGTGAGGAAAAGAAAGAGAGAGAAAGATAATGAGAGAGCGCAGACGGAGAGCAGTAGTAGATTAAAACCAGTATCAGAGTCCCAGTGAGTCAGGTCAGAACTGGGAACACTGGTCTCTCCTCAGTGTCTCTGAGAGCGGAGTCTGGGAGCCCTGGGTGGCCTCACAGGTCACAGAGCCCACCTTCCTCCAGTGGTCTGCAGAGAGCCTCAGGGTGCTGCTCCAGCTGTAGTGGCCGTCCTTCAGCACCCCGGGGCTCCTGCTCTCCTCCCAGCTGCTGCTGCTGCTGCTGCTGCCGTCCACCTTCCAGGACAGACTCCAGTCTGAGGGGAAGCCCTTGTTGGCCAGACACATGAGCGTGGCCTTCCCCTGCTGCAGCTCCTCACTGGAGGGGGGCAGCACCGTCAGGGTGGGACGGACATCACCTAGGAGACACCAATCAGCTTAGAGGACAGGGACAACACAGCTGTCAATCAAGCAGCAGACACTTGGACACCTTTACTGTGTGAGAGTTGATTTTCTCCTTTAAGGAGTTTCTGTCAGATGGTTTTTCTGCTCCACCAGTCACTCACTCACACATTGTTTCACTTCCCTTTAAGAAGCCTCTCATGCATATCAGCACAGAGAGAATCATCATACAGAATGAGCTGAAATATATCAAACTACACTGGAAATAAAATATCAAAAACTGTATCATCAAAATCATCCAAAACCTGAACTATACATTACTTTAAAGTATTTAGTGGAAACATGAACAAACACAGAAAATGAACTGACTACAATCAAATGTTCTTCATGTGGATTTCAATCATTATTACCAAACTCTTCAACAGATTTTAAATTTGAAGCAATCTATGACGAAATGAAGAGATTTTGAAGATTTTCAAATTATAAGCTTTATCTTCACTCTGTATAATTTTATTTTAATAACTCAATCTCAACTTATTCAAAAACAGCTATTACAAATGTGGAAAAATAAAAAGGCAAATCTTTAAAGACATTTATAAAACAGTTTGCAGTTTTATCGTTTCTACACTTTGGGCTGTTTGAATTTCAGTTTAACAGGAATGTTTAAAGAAATGTTTAGAAAAGCTGCTCTGAGTTAGCCTCCATGATAAATGAGGAGAAATACATGAATAAATCCATATTGAAATTAAAACAAGATATATTTATCAGCCTCAAGCAACCAAAAACTGAATATAAAACATTACTTTACAATATTGTATTTAGTACTTGTGTAGAAACTTACTTCCAACATCCAGTCTGGTTCCTCCACCAAAGGTCCACCACAGTGATACAAACTCATTGAGCCGCCGTACAAAAACCTCTCACTGTAGAGAGACACGGCTCTCTGACTTTGACACAAACAAACTCAACAAAATTATTCTGTTTGTAAAACCTTGTCATGTGACAAGATAACAATCACCAGAAACTTCCAAGATGTATTTATATATTTGTTAACATAAGATAAGAAAAGATAAGATATACCTTTATTGATCCCCTGTAGAAGAAATTCAAATTAGACACAGCAGCATAGGCCAATGTAGTGCAACGAGTACAGAAGTTTAATTAGAATCGCAAAATAGGAATTTTACAAAAAATAGCAGAAAATATAGACTATAAATGAAAAGCATATACACTATATGCAATATGCAAGTAAAATGGTGGGGTGGACATATGGAAAGGGATCGGGGAGGGAAGAAGTGGAGGGGGTTAAGGGGGAAAGGGCTGTCATCTGGGTAAAGAAGGGAGAGATGGGCTGTGGAGGAGGGTGGGGTAGCCAAGGTGTGAATGAGGGTACCTGAGGAGGTGGAGGGGGTTTGTGAATCAAACATGTTGAAATACAGGTTTAACTCGTTGGCACATCCCTTTGTCCCCTCTACTGAACCTACTGACCTTTTCATGCCAGTAATGCTCCTCACCCCCCTGTAACAGTCCATCAAGGCCTCCTCTGCCTCCACCGACCACTGCTGCACAGTGCTGGTGGTGATGGACTGTCTCCTATATAAAATACATGTTTCTAAAAAAATTTGAAATGTAAAGAAAATATATGCATTAGAATAGAACCAAAATTATATGAACTAGTTGTTGTGTGTTTCTGAATCAGCAATCCATTAAAGTGATTGATCCATTGATAAACAGCATCATGAGAGGAATCCAAGTCCCTGTTGGAGTCAGTCAGAGCATTTCCATAGAGAGCCACTTTGCATCAGCAGCACCATGCTCCAGTGCTCTGGGAGAGTTTATAGTCCTGAGAGTTGAACACTGGATGACTGACAGCTGTCCTTCATGACAACAGAAGACACAGAAATCCTCCTCATCAAAAACATGACTTTGATCTCCGTCCTCATCTGGACTCTCCTCTGCTGCTGCTTCACAGGTAAAGTCCAGAGAATCAAACTCCTCTCCTCTATGAACATCCGTCCCTCTGAAATGAAGCCCACAAAACCATGACGCTGCTTTATGTTTTTGTCTCTGTATCCTCAGAGTCCAGAGGCCAGGTCACAGTGACTCAGTCTGGAGCAGTGAGCTCTGCTCTGGGACGCTCCGTCACCATCACATGTAGGACCAGTCAGAACATCTATAGTTCTTCCTCTTTATCCTGGTACCAACAGAGAGATGGAGAAACTCCTAAACTGCTCATTTACTATGCTAGCACTCAAGCATCAGGGATTCCAGGTCGTTTTACAGGCAGTGGATCAAACTCTGACTTCACTCTGACCATCAGTGGAGTCCAGACTGAAGATGCAGCAGTTTACTACTGCATAGGTGGTCATTACATCAACAGTCAGTGGTTGTTCACACAGTGAAAAAACGTCGTACAAAAACCTCCCTCGGTGAGACTGAACAGAAACTGAACTGACTGCTGCAGCTGGAAGCTACTGCAGAGACTGATACACTTC